ATATTATATTATATTATATTATATTATATTATATTATATTATATTATTATTTTTCAATATCTTCCCATATGTTCTAACGTACTATCCTCCTTGTGACCTTGAAATCCTCTTCTCTGTAGTGTAGAAGTCCTAACAAGCTGTAGGTCTGAGTCACGAGCATGCCTGGAGGTACAACCTACTCCCTAATGATGCTTTTATGAGGCTTCCCCACTCATAAGGTCTCCCTTCTCCTCCCTCTTGTGGCATATGACTTCACACTCCCCCTCTATCGCATTTTTTCGAATACTAAAATTGTGCTTCATCAGGTTAACACGTCTCTGTCTATATTTCTACATTTTCTAAGCTTGGATTTCATGCTTTGCTATCTCTTGTCCTTTCTCCCATCCGTCACCTCTGTCAACCCTCCCTTTTTTCTCTGTTGGGAACAATAACACCCAGTGTGGCTGCTGCTAAGAGGGAGCAGATGCTGGAGCTGCTGCCCACTCAGTGCACTAAACCTCCCACCACAGGACTCTGAATCCCGTTCCTCCTCCACCTAGCCAAAAAGAACACAGAGCAGTGACACCAGTGCCAGCTCTCGCATGCACCTCCCACCTCTGGCCAGGAAGGGTGGATAGGTTCACATATGCAATACTCTTGGAGACAGTATAGGAACTTTAAATGGCGACAATAGAATTGATTAAATTGACTAGTGATTCATGTTTGCTCAATCAGAGCATCATATTCTCTTTCCTCCTTCAAGAAATCCTTGAAGACCCAACTCTTCTGAGAGTATCTTTTGCCCTGAAAGCTCTAAATACACTTATTTCCTCAAGCATATAGCACTCAATGTATGGTACTTGTGTAATATATGTCATAATTTAATGTTAAATTTACCATTTTTTTACCATTTTGCTCCTGAGTGGCTTGTACATATTAAAAAAAAAATAAGTTTTCAACCTTTGAAACATGTGTTTTATAAACTAGTTCCTTATCAAACACATATTTTTATGTGAAAGTAGTTTTAATCCATCCGCACAACAAAAGCTGACTGAAGAGGAAAAACTTCATGATTATACAGGTAAAACTTTAAGGCAAACTATGGCTTAAGCTTTTCTGGAAGTAAAACCAAAACCCTGATACTGATACTGCTAATGGATGGGGAGAAAAGATATTTTTAAAGGCCAGATATGTACACACCAAACACACTCTAAAATCCTGGCCCTTAGCTAATGAACCCGCAGATCTGCAGCTCTGCGCATAGCTTCCTGCCACTCCAGATGTGCTTACAGCATCTCTGATGTCTATTTAATGTTCACCAGCAAAGTGACCATCTGTTTAAAACACTGGCTGTTCCTCTCCTTCTCCTTTTTATCTCTTCCTCTACTTATTCCCAGTGTTTAGTTGAGACATTTATGAGACTGGACAATGTCCTTTATTATTGTTTTACAGTTTTGATTTACCAAATGTTCTTTTGTCATTTAAAATACTTATGTTTCAAAATATGTCAGGTATGTTGTTTCTTATTTCACTTCTAGGATTTTCATCAAACTTTTCAACATATCTTTTCAGATTCAATCAACGTATTGAATTGTTATCTGCTTGTCCTTTAAGCCAACATTGTGAACATGTGGCAACAGCCCGAAACACTGAATGGGAATGATTAGCCTGCGCATGCCTCTTCTTGAGCCAAAACCATGAAGCCTCCACTCTCAGCCTCTGCAGAGCACCTGTGTGTCTGGCTTCATTTTCTGCTATGAAAATATTTGCACTGCTGTCCCATTTTATTAACTTTTAATACAAAAGAGAAACTGTTCCAGCTCGAAAGGTGTTTTGGCCAACCCCTTCTGAATCATTGTGTCTGAGCTTTAATGGGGTCATTCTATCACATAAGAGTTTGCCAGCTCAATAAATTGTCTCTGTTAATCTTCACACATGTCTTGCACATACTTTATTGGTTGAATCTTCAGGTTTATATCCAATTAAACTTCTTGTTCTCAAGGCAGATTGGTTGCCCTCAGTGTTCCACCAGCATTAAAGATCCCTTTTTCTTTGCAGTGTCCATGTAATTAAGACCTTATATCAGATTTTTTTTAAAACTTGAGAGCAGAATATAATTACAGAATGTTAGTAAGTCAAAGTTTGTCTAATTACTGTGTTATCATACCAGAACAATTAGCTGGAATTTTTTGTGTGGGTTATGTGGGTAAAGGTGTCAAATTGATCAACTTAGTTTAGCTGAATCCTTTTAACAAACATGATTTGACATCCAAACTTTTTCAGACAAGACACCATTACCCTCAAGATTAATGAAGGGAATTAGGAGACAGGCTAACACCCAGTCATTGCATTATGTAATGTATGTTGAAAGTGTGTGTGTGTTTATGAAATTATGTGTAGATCTTACATAAGACTGGAGACAAACAAAAATTCTATTTAAATTAAATACAGTATGTTTTAATGTATCTTTCACCACATTCATAACCGAATGTGGTTTTGAAGGCACAAAAAAGCCAAAAAATAAAAAATTTATATCAGTGCAGATAATTGAAAACCTCTTTTAATTGTCATAAAAGTGGGAGGCTGTGTCTATACTTTTAATAGATTATCCCTCAATTATAAGGAAAGAAACATTACCATCTCATGATTTCTGTCAGATTTTTAACATGTTTTTAGAATGTTGTCAAAGACAAATTTTCTTGTAAGAATCTGCTGCCAGCTTGCAGTAGTTATTGGACATGCCCCAGTTTTTACCACGTACACACCACTAAAATCTACACAGATTCATACAAAAATCATACTTAAGTGAGCACTCTGCATCTGTGTTGGACTGTGCGGGTCTTTATTCACAGTGGGGGCCTGAATGCAGCAGTTTGTGACACATGATGTGCTGTTGAGCGTGAAACATTCTCTGGGATCATTTAACTCGACAAAATGCCCCACAAGCTGGAATGATTGCATCCGGGTGTGTGAAGTGAATTGTGTATGATGCTGTGTCTGAAAACTCTCAACTCCCCTCTTGAGTGTGCCATGAACAGACAGTTCAACACAGATTTTGCGACAGAGCACTGTGAGAACAAAACACTGTGGTAAAAGTAAAAATTAAACGTCAAGCTAAACTTAAAGATTATGGTGAATATCATGGTGAAGGACAGTTTTTGTTGTGACTCTACCTTGTCTGACTGACTGAGCTCCACTTATGAGATCTATGAAGCTCTTCATTATTTAATCAAATGTTGCTAAATGTCTTTTAGTGCTGGGTTTTTCCGTAAAGCATATGATATTCAATGTAGAAAATCCTCAAATAGATCAAATCAAGCTCTCTCCTCTGATAACTTAGCTGCATATTTACATAAAGTTAATCATAGGTACTAAGAGAGGACAAAAATATTTTATCAGAGAAATATCGGAGCAAAGTTTAAACAAACTGTTATGTGCCCTGTCATGATGGTATTCTATTGAATTGACCTCATTTTAGACAGACTGATACTCCACAGTCATTTTAAGCACTGGCAATGTGCCTCTTGACTATGAAAAGGCCTTTGTGCTGCAAAAAACTGTGTGAGTACACATTATTTGATCTTTTGTGATATATATATGATCCAACTCTCTTAGTCATGCTCCAGCCCTACACTGGACGTTGACTTTAACGTGGAAAATTACCACCTGGAGACAACAATAGAGCTACATAGAGTATCTATAGAAAGTTAAAAAGATATAGTGAACGTGTCATGGTAAATGCATTGAGACCCAGGACACAGTGCTGAGAGCTCTGTAATTGTTTCCACCAAATCCAGGTCCTCACACTTTTACTGGTCCATGTGTCTGGGTGTGGTATCATCCAGCTGCTGAAGCTTTCTTTGTGACCAACTGTACGCCGGCCACAAAGTTAGTTACCCTGGTAATCATTCATATTGGACACTGAGGGAGGATGGTGCTACGAACACATTTAAGTCACAAATTTAAGATTCTCTGCATAGCTTCAAAACTCCTTCTGTCAGTCTTTTTCATGTTTGGTGTTAAAATATCTCACATCTGTCCCACTTCTCTCACAAATGTAAGTGGTTCACCATGGAGTAAAAGTGGTTTACCAAAGAAATGTTAATTCCCGTATGGCATTTCAGCATAAATAGTCACTGAAACACTGTCAGATTTCATTTACAAAAAGATGAAGGATGCTTATGCCTGAAAGCAAGTTTCAGACAATATAACTTTCTTTAGCATTTTGAAAGAAAAAACCTCAATTTGTATTTTATAATTGGGGCAGTACAATATTCTATTCTGAACCTCTTTTCTCAGCTCTGTTGGCAGCTAGGAAAAAAATGCCAGACCTCTGGTCTTTTACCTTATAATTTTATGCTTCAGTGTAATTCCCCACAGACTTTGGACCGTTCTGAGGCGTACATGGTATGTGTTTCTTGGAGCGTAAGGTTACTGATGGTTGAACAATAACTGAAAAAATGCAAAAACATAACTTGTAAATAAAAAAAGCAATTCTTATCTCATAAATGAACACGAAATGCTTAAATGCTTCTCAAAATGCTTATAGCAAGATATTTCACGATATTATGAGAATTCCAATAAAATCCACTCAAAAGAGTCAGAAGCAAAGTTGGAATACCTGGTCGCTTTCAGTGCCCGTAAAAGCCAGACCCAATTTTAAGAATATGTATTTAAATGTCCCTAATATGGCATAGTGGGGGTCTTTGGTTTATGAAAAAGAGCACTACATTGCCAATCGTGTGTCAAGTGTTTTCTTGTTATCTGTAGCATAAATGCCTATTAGGTAGGCAGAAAAAAATGTATGACTCAAATGCAAATTGGTATTTGTAGACAGGTTTTATGGTCTGTGAGAGAGTTCGCCTTCAAATGATTCCGGAAAAATCGTCTTCACGCTAGTCAAACAGACAGATTTGTGGAAACCTTACAAAACTGAAACTAAACATTTAGAATGGGATCTGACACAGTATGCATAATTTACATTTTGCATATGTAACTTAAGCAAAGCATTACAGCGAGTAAAATATATCCTGTACAGTGCTGGCAGCTCTCTAATGTTATAGTTCCATATTTCCAACTCACTGTACAACTTCGGGCCAGTCATCTCTCAAACACAATGTATGTTTCATAGAATTTACACCGTCTAGGCTCACTGAGGTCCAACTTTGTTGTTGGACAACAAACTGCTACTAGGAGACAGCCAAGGCTTTCAACTTTCAATTACTCAGAATGTAATTTATACAGTTATTCAGCTGAAGATGTGGACACATAATAATGAGAACCACTTAAAATCATCCTTTATGTCTGCAGATTCTAAGGTTCATCTTGTCATCAAATACAAAAGTTGTTATTTTTGCTGAGTGTGGGAGCTTTTTGATGCACAGACCCCGTTTCCTAAAATGCTGGGTTCTTGCCTGAAACGGTGATTTACAGACATTTTCAAGCCCTGTTTTGAAATGCATGATCGCAACGTTTTTGATAATAGTTTGTCCAGGTGCACACCTATTCATTTTCTACTATTAATGGTCCCTTAGCAGAAATTACCTATACCATGTGCTGTATTTCACTTAGAGATAGATACCATTAAAGACATGGTGGATATAATTTTTTTCTATTTTTTCCTTAACTTGGAGGACGCAGTCTCCAAAATTCATACTCTGATAATAAATGCAGACATAAATACTGTTTAATTTAGTTTTATTTAGTTTTTCACATTTCACAGGGTGAGTCAAAAGTCCCAATACCCCCTTATAGCCTGAATTTATATAGCTGTATACAATAAAATGTTTTATGTGTGTTTTGGCCTTTAGGTAGATGGTAAATAATGTTGAGATTATTTATTTTACTTTTGCAAAAAAAAATCAATAGAAATTTTAGTAAGTTGCAAATTTGCAACAACAGGTACAATGGTCAATTTGGGGTCAATATGGTATGTTGCATACTCGTGATGGCAGGCTTTAAGGGGATACACAATTTTATTTCAGAAACAAAATGGAAAATGACCAAACTAAATAACCCACAAAGTAATTAGTGAGAGGCTTTTGACTCACTCTAGATTATTTTATAGTTAGAGAAAGCCTCAGTACTCTGGACCTTGTTATTTCTTCTTTTCTTTTTTTTCTATGTAGTTTTAGTTCCACAAATGCATCTTAAGATTCAGCAACAAGCTATCTGGACTGACAATCATTTTCATATATGTTACATGGCTTATGCTAAGTGTGATCATTTTATATCATTTAGATCAACCTTGTACAAACTTTTGTTAAAATATAGTGCTGATCAAATTGAGATAAATCATATGAACTACATGTCAATGCATTCGTTATCTACACTTGACCCTAGTATGGTGGCACGGCTGGGCAGGGGGTGGATAGTTTGGAATCTATACAAAGACTAAATCTAAACTACTTGTGAACACCTTTAGCTTCATTAAAAACTTGATTGCATTGACTTAATAATTATTGTTTTCCTTTTTTTCATAGCTACCACAACTGGAAGACACTTGTTTCCACATCCAACTCCAGCCCTAACTTTGAGGCAATTTGTGATAACCCCAATGGCCTTCTCTTCAAGAACAAGAGGGACAAAAAGATCCTAAATGTGGACCCATGGGTAAAAATGTTTTCCTTATTCCTGTTGTTTTGCTTTTAGGCCTCTGGGAAAAACATGGCACAGTTATGGTTGTAAAAATGTCACAGGAAAGCTTTTGAGATCTTGAGACCTCTTTTCTTTACATAGGAGCAACTAATCTTTGTGGCTCAGGTTTGTTTAAAGTCCCCTCACTGATTTCAAGTTGTAATATTTCCACATTAAAGCAGTTTTTAAAAGAAGCCACAAATAACAGATCCTGAGCTCCACTGGGAGCCTCCAAAAAAAGAGATGGAGAGGCTGAGAAAGATAACAAAATCAGTAGGATGGGAAGATATTAGCTTTCCACCTGCACAAAGAATGGAGGATCAAGGGGTCGAGACAGGTGCTTCCTCCTCTCTGTCTGACAGAGCCCTGGAAGAATAACTAGTGACAGAGATGGGGTTTTTTTCCTCTACTTTCCTTCTTTGCTGGGGGGAAGGGAAGTAGTTGGTGGGGCTGAACTATTTTAAAATTGCAGACAGAGCTGTGGGGACTGCGTTTTTGAGGCCAAGCGCCAAAATGGCAGCACAGTTTTCTAGCTGTGGTTGAGCACCGCCCCAACCAAGCCGTCTATTAAAAACACAAGTGAAGGGATAGGAAGCCAGACACAGCAAACCGCCTGTATGCCCAGAAACCTAGTTCAGCTCAGCCCAGAATGGTACAGCTCGGAGTAGAATCGAACTGTCTGTTTTTTAACCCTCTCACTGAAAACTAGCTGTTCATTTGAGCCAGCTAATGTTAAAGATTAAGCCTCGCAACAACCTCATTTTGAGTGCTCCATTTTTCAACCTTTGTCATAGATGGTAGGAGTGTTTTGCATTAAAATGGCATTACTGGTTTGCTAGTATTTAAGATAAAAAAAAAACACTTAACATTGCTTGCTTAGATTATGTGAATGTAATTACACCATTTTACGTTTCTAGAAAATAGATGCCATTCATTCCCATCTGTGATAAATTAGGTAAAGCTCTAATTTTTCTTTTATACTTACACTCTTTGAACATAGGGAAAAAGATTGCCTCTTATATTGGGATACCCACAAGTATGTTTGAGGTAAAAGTGTAAATTGAGTGTAATAGATGCCCAGTGGATTCACTCCCACCAGAAACTTCTGACACACTCTGACTTAAATAAATGTTTCCAGCTGGTAGTGGCTTCACATCTTCATTTAGGGATTGTGTCAGCTTTGACAACCAAAAGTAACACAAAACATCTCGGAAAATGAACAGTTGCGGTCAAATTATCCTGCACTTTGCCTCCCCTTTAATAAACCTACTATTATACTGAGATGTGTTCTGGATATTTGTGGTTTTGTTTAACTGAAAACATGTTGCCTCTGCAGCAGTCACTGCATTTTTATTTACTCAATATTCTTCCTATTTCAGCTTGATTAACTTGTTAAATCTAATGAACTGGTGTAACCGGAATGTTTAAATTTGTAAACCCAAACCCGCTGAGATTCAATGCCAGCTCTGTGGCTCTATGATACTTTTAGATTCCTTAAAACACTTACTGTAGGTTCTCCCTGCCTGTTGGGAAGGCAAAGTACAGATCAAGTAGAGAAAAACTTCAGAGACAATTACTTGTTTGAGTTCTGTCCTACAGATGCTCATACAAGCTCACTTTAAATTTTGAACAAAATGCTCCTTACATCAATCCAAGTTAAAATTACCATTGCATTACATTTCAATTAAATTGACAAACACTTTTAACTGTTTTCATTCTTCTGCTGGATTTTCAGTCTGGCCCTGGTCAGGACTTCAGCAGGACGTGCTTACAGTCCGACATCTACATCCATGTTGTCCTGTACGACCACAGCATCAGAACGATCTGAGCTTCAGAGACTGTGGCAAATATTGAAGCCTCTAATTCGACCAAGTTCCTGCAGTTGCACCATCATTTCCAAACTCTTCCCCTTATTTCACACATACTATCTGGGTGGAAGTGTTCAATGAAAAGAATGGCTGTAAACTGAGGATTTACAGAGGAAGAACTGAATGGACTGATGAGAGAGCTGGAAAATATCCTTGCAACTCATCTGAGCTTTCAAATATATTTTGTGTTTTTATACTCTCTATTTTCAATGTGGAACAACATGATTTTTCCAAACATTCAACATGACAGCCATCTTAGTTAGGGGTAAGAACCTGCTAAGGGACCCATGGATTGTCCTCACCGGCATGTTTTGGACTGTTTGTCTAAACAAATTAAAGGCATAAGAACTTTGAAAGATGATGGGGGTTGCTTTTATGTCCTCCCCCAGGCTGCGGTAGCACCAATTGGACTGCAAGAGTGGGTAATGGGCTTAAAGCATTCCGCATGTTCCCAGATGCAAGGCACACCATGCAGGACATCAAAGTGCTCTATCATTTACATATTAGTCATTGACTGACATTCTCTGCAAGACAACTCTAGATATATTTCATTGAGCCTTTACTTTAACTGAATAAGAGCAACATATCTAAAAATAAACTTAAGACCTTTGTTAGAAGAATATTATAAAATAATCATATGATAACGAGTTCAAGTTACACAGCAGACGACTTGCAAAATAACATCTGTTTCACCAAATGCTGCCTGAGAGTCTGAGGATTTAATGCTATTAAATGATGGAATATTCAAAGATTTAACAATTCTATGGTGAAGACATTTTCTAAACTTTCTTAACATTTTGAAGACACAGATTACTGAATAACACTTTTATTTCTAAGAGATGCTGCCTCTTTAAGGCAATAGTATGAATGTTTTTCTATTCACTTTTTTTTGTCTGACGTTATTTTATCTAGTATCCCAACTTTTGTATGGATTCTTAATGTCATGTTATACTCCAGTCGCATATAACCATTGTCTCAGCATCACTTTCCTCAAAGACAAGCTTCTTGAAACAGACTTTAACTAAAAGAATCACAGTTATGTGCTTCAAAGAGAAGGCTGATTTCATTTGTTTAATTTCATTTGCTTTGTGAATTTCAAGTTGGTAGCTGACAGCTTAGCAGAGCTTAGCAGAAAAACTGGAGACAGAAAGATAAATAAATAAAGATAAATACTAACATATAACTAACTATAGTTTCTGGTTTGTTGTGTCATGAAGACAACAATCAAAGTTGTGGTTTTATTATCATGGTTTTTAATGGATGCAATGCAATACTTCAACATATGCATTTCAATTTCTTCATCAGACTTAAAAGAGTTAGCAAGAATTCCACTTAAAATGATGATCTTTTCTTTTATGTTAACCATGCAACCTATATTCATGTCCTATGCTTATTTTCCCTGCCTTGTGATTTCTCTTTCTAGAAAGTCACAAGGTTAAAACAGATTAGTTCATTCCAATATGTATAAAATATATTTGATACCAGAGGAAGCTTACTCTAGCTCCATCTGTTTTTCTGTTTTGAATGACATGGAGTCTTTTGGCCTCATCTAAACAATATGTGTGGTGACATGAGGTTTCTGGGATTTGGGGGATGAGAGTCTGGTTTGGGGTTGTCACATTCTTTTTGTCCTTTGTGTTTTTTTGTGGTGACAAAATAATGTTGGTGGAAATCAGGTTATAGAAAGGAGTGACATCAAACAACATGATGGTTTGCAGAGTAGGTGCCTTTTCCATCTATGTTGTCTGTTTCTTTAAAAGTTGCGATTTTGAATGCATCCTGCATATGCATATTGTGAAGGTCTGTTTGCAGGTCGGGGCTGTAAATTAGTGTAGTGGCTAGCACTGTCGCCTCACACTCTCGGTTCGAGTCCCAAGGACCTTTCTGTGGAGTTTGCATGCTATTCCTGTGTCTGTGTGTCTCTTCCAGTACCCCATGGGTAAAAAATATGCATTTTAGGTTAATTGGACAAACAACTTACAAAACCCCACAAAAACATTGGCTTTTGTTTGTCTCTGTGTGGCCCTGCAATGGACCAACCCTCAACCCAATTGGAAATAATGTTTGCAGCTCATCCATGTGATCAGGAAATAGCATTCAATTAAGGATGCATCAGTCATTCCAAAGACCTGCCAATCAGCAGGTGTGCACAGAAAAATGGGCAGTAGATGGTCAAATGAGCATTGCCCATGAAATGTAACAGGACAAGATTTCTTCCACATGTTTCCATTTGGACTATACATCATCAGATGGATTTTTGTCTATACAGAGTAATAATTTCTCAATTAAATGAAGTTAAATGGTTATATCCTCTTCAGTTTGTTTATTGGGCGTTTAGCTGTTGGGGCTTTTACTGACATGTGGTTTTATTAGCTTGAGGCCTGACATGAACCTAATATACACAACATGAGGTAAAGAGGTGGATTCACTATAAACTGGGTTTAAAATTGTTGTTACACTATCCAACACTCTAAGATACAATCTTGGGTTACCTCAAAACGTATTTTCCGTGTCTTTTTGCATAGATTTTTTCAGCCTAATGTCACAATCAGCATTACTTAAGAGTGCCAACATTTGAGGTGCAGATTGCATTAAACCCAAAATGATAGCATTGAGTACTTTAACTGTCAACCTAATACACATAAGCATGACAATTCTGAAAACCGTCCATCTAATGTCGATACAGTACTATTTATTATTAGTAGGATCACAAGGGTTGTCTTATTTATTTATTTTAATTTATTTATTAATTTTAGGAAGGGTGGGGGCTTCCCCTGCAGATCAGCAGACTTTGGGTGAGAAGTGGGGTACCCCTGGACAGGTGGCCATTCCATCACAGGACCACACAGAGAAAAACAACAATACGCACACACAGACTAATTCCTATGGGCAATTCAGAGTCTTCGATTAGCCTAGCATGCATGTTTCTGGACAGTAGCAGAAAGCCGGGAAAACATTATTTTGTGTTTGACTAAACCACAGTTACATGAAAAGGTTTGGGGAGCAAAATAATAAGAAAAGTTGCAATGTTTAAATAGCCTGAAATTACAACAATGTCCATCATTTGCAGGTGGAAGACGTTTAGAATTACCACCACACTTCCTTGGTCTAGCTGACAAACTTGGAGAGAAGGGAAAATTATAAGTAACACAAGTCAACAACAAAACAACTGTCTTCATGAACATTATACTAAGGAGAATCAGTGCAGAATTTATCCTTTTTGTTGCTACTTTAAGACAGTTTATGTCCTGAAGGAGGCATGCAGCAACACACAGAGTCCAACAGGAATCTTGAGGTCTGTAATTACAACTAAATTATGTATGGCCACTGCTGCGAAGTTTAAATTAAAATCTGAAATTTACCGTAGTGGAATAAAATCTACTAAGCACCTGAGCAACTGTGACTTCACTTCATTATGTTATCGTTTGGCAGCTGCAGTGTGTTGATGCTCCTTTGCTCATCCCCAGTTAGTGGAAAGGGTTAAATCCATAGGGTATTAGTGCTAAGAATGATATGGTATGCTAATATTATTGCAATCAGATGTCCAAGTGCGGGGAAATGCCCTAATCATTTCCTCCCGAGTACCCCTGAAAGAAGGCCAGTGACGGGGGGGTAGTGAGGAACGGTTGGGTGGGGTGCATAAACCGCGCCTGATGGGCTGTTTTAGTGGAGGCGGGGAACAGTACAGCATCCGGATCGGACTGTGATGGTACAGGATGTCTGTGCTTAACTCCATTGAACTGAACTAAATAGGGAAAAAAGCCCTTAATACCGACAATAAGCCGCTTCATTCATCAACGCCGCCCAGACGCACAGCCCTGCGGAGCAGATATTGCGCACGGAGGGGCTGCTCTATGGCGGTAGTTCACACTGAAACCGGTTCAATAAATCGCTGGAATGCCGTTTATCAAGCCTTTTTTTTAATCTTGTGCTATATGTCTTAACTCATCGGACGAGACAACTCCTTTGCCCCCAGCCCGCTCTGTTCTTAGTGACCAGATAAGTTGTCCCTCGGCTGAACGTATGTATAGCATTTTAAACAGGAAGCTCTCCCTTTCTCTCGCTCCCCCCCTCTCTCTCTCTTTCACTCTGCTTGCGCGTGTGTTGTGTGTGTGCGACTGTATGAGGAATACCCAGCTGGTCCCTCAAGCCCTATAATACCAAGCACAACATGCTTTACCTTCAATGAAAGCTGAGACGGTAGGCAATTGGTCGTCAAGCCAGCTCAAAACTAAGAGAATCGGTGTAAGAGCAGCCCCGGCTGCTTTTCCCACACCTTATCCTGTGCGAAGGAATATTTTTATTTGACTGAATCTTAGTTGGGCTACTATTTATCAAAAACAGACAAGGAAGTCGGATAACACACATTCATGTCCTGTTATGACTGACGTCAAAGGTGATGTTAGTCTGTCTTTTCCAAACGGAGGGTTCCTCATGTGATGGTATGCCTTTTTGGAAATAGGGACACTTTTGGAGACGCGATAGTTTGTCCACAGCTGATACTTTTCTTGTCGTCACCTTCCCTTTTTCTTAAGCATGGCTCTCTACTCTCGATTTGTTGTCTTGTTGTTGTACGGATGGAGTTATCTTTGCGTTGGATACTGCGCGATGCTGAAAACAGACGGTGTCCTCGAGAGGCGTAGGGTGGATTTTACGCATTCAGTGGATAACAAGCACACGACGGAAGAAGACCAAGACGTGCCTTTACGGGATACAATGACGGAGCACATGCGGATGCTTTACGCGAAGTACAATCGTGCTGGATATCCGTTCAGGGATGGCAACACAGTTCGTAGTTTCAAAGCGCACTGGGGTATGTAGAATTTTACGCACATTATAAACACACATTCCAGCTGTAGGGGAATGGCACATATGACTGTTGTATGAAATTCAAATTCTGATTAGGCAGCATCGATTTCCGCCCTGTTTTACGCAATTCCTCTTAACTTTAACAGTGATGCGTGCGAAGTTGACTGGAAATTTGACTAGAAATTAAGCATACCCTATAGGTATGCTTAATTTCTAGTTAATGCCTTTCTTTAAGTTTAGGAGACAAAGGCTGAAATTGTTGTAATACTGTTTACATATAAGAAAAAAATCACACAACAACAAAAATTTGACATTTTCTGGGCTTTTTTATTGCCGCTGAATCTCAAATACACCTGTTGATCCAGTCACTGAAACAACCTGTTAACATTTCTCTTGCCAGAAAGTAAGATTTGCATCAGATCATTGAATGCAACTTACGTCGTTTGGCGACACAATTGTTTTCACATCTCAAGATTTCATTCTCAGATACACTAAATAGCTTTTCCCCTCGAGCCAGGATGTGGCAGATGCCCAGCTTGTGCTGCAGTGGAACTGGTGATTCCACCACAGTCAGCATCTGGATTTAAGGAGCCCTTTTTTTCTTTAGTGCTTTGTCTCTACGAAACTGTAAGAAAGTTTTTGTCTCATCCACTTTCAACTTTTTAAATGCAAACTGTTATTATCACTTTAATCTGTTGAGGACGATTACTCTCAACGTTGTTTTAAACATTTTTAGACTGTTGTCTACTGCCTCCTATCGCCCAGTCCCAGTATGTTACAGCATAAAAATATGACAATTTCACTCAAATTAAAAACACAGCACAGTACGAACGTTTTAAACCACTCTTCGTTCCTCACTAAGGATCAAATAAAACCAAAAATGTATTGAAATATTTCAAAGGATAGTTTTGAAATAGATAAATAGATACATTGATAGATCTAACTAGTTGATATCTAACATAAAACGTGTTTCTGCAATACTAATACACTTTAAAGATAATCTTCTTTAAGGGCATCCCAAAAAACCTCTTTTGATTTGGGTTTCTTTTGTTCAGTTGTCTGTCAAGATGTCCCCACAGTGCTTCAGTAACATTGAGGTTCAGTGTTTTGGAGAAGATTCAAATATCCACTAGAGCTATTGTCACTGATTTTCAATCCCACTTCTTGTGTCGTTTGGCATATTGCAGCATTTTCTATTTTTTCCCTCCCTTAGAGACCACTTCTGAGACTTCAGGATCAACTAACAAGCCCATCCCAATTTTCTGTATATATGTATATATATATATATATATATATATATAATAGGGGCTTTTTCTTTTTAAATTATTTCAAGTGTCACTGTTGGTTAATTTGACAAACAAGCAAAAATATATATTTATTTTAAAACGGTACCAGGACTGGGTGGAAAATGTATTAAAAAGCGGCCAATGCTCAAGGGAAAACTTTGAACAGTTGCTCAAAACTATATGAAAAGATGACAAAAATGTGTTCCTTGTTGGGAAAAACATACAAGTAAATGTAGTGCATCTTAAAACTTTTGTAAAGAACCATAACATTTTATTGTTTTTTACTATCAATTTTTGAGATTCTGTTTCCAACAAAATACAATATTGATGCTGAAATTTGAAGTTTACAAAAGTGCAACCACTATGTTCCTTCAAATATTTTATTCCAATAAAAAGGTACATTTACATAAAAAGTACATTTTTGGATCATGTATAGAGTAGTTTTTCATTTAGATTTTTTTTTACGTTTTCAGAGCCACATATATTCTGTTACATGCTAATGGAAGTGCATTTTTTGTAATAATCTGGGCAGACAACACCAACATAATCATCATGGCTGAGAGAATGTTGAGTTGGTCATTTGTCTCAATCATTTTGTTGTTATTACCTCAATTGGTCATTTTTTCAATTTGCTGAAATTTTATACAACCATTTGCATTGTCTAAATAGTATTACTTATTATTACAGGAACTATAAACAAGAAACAGCTCCAGATTTTCAACCTCACCTCTCTCACCAAGTCAGAGGACATTCTTTCAGCCACTCTTCATTATTACATTGGAGACCTCCAGAACACCACCCAGGGGTTTTCCAGGTCTAAAAGCTTCTCCCACTATGGTCCCAGGAGACACAGCAACATCCACATGGTCATCTGGAGTTTCGCCTCTTCAGGCAACAAAACGAGGAGTCTTGGACATTTTACGCTCAATGTGTCCACTCTCTACAAAAACTTCATCTCAGGGCACTGGAAGGACATAACTCGTGTGGTAAATCAAGTCAAACACCACGACGAGCTGTTCATTGGTATTGATGTTGCTTCACAGGGGCCTTGGCCATGGAAGAAACTCCTGTTGGATCGCTCGCCCTATATACTGGTTTATGCCAACGACTCAGCCATTTCAGAGCCTGAAAGTGTGGTAGCCACTCTCCAGAGACACCATTCAGTGGGAGATGAGGCCTCGGATTCACACAGCTTCCACAAACTGGCACTGCGAGAGCAAAACAACACCAAGCAAGAACAGCTGCATCCCAGACACAAGCGCTCAGTGAATGTTCTTCTCCCTTTGCAAAACAATGAACTTCCTGGGCCTGAGTATCCATATGAGACAACCGGTTGGGATGAGACGAGTCCATATCAGCCTTTTGAAAACAAGCAGGGTCGGCGGCCACGTAAAAAGACACGCAAGAATCAGCGACACAAGATGCCCCTGCTGCAGTTTGACGAGCAGACTATTAAAAAGGCACGAAAGAAGCAGTGGGACGAGCCCAGGAACTGCGCTCGGAGATACCTGAAAGTGGACTTCGCTGACATTGGATGGAGTGAATGGATTATATCACCCAAGTCATTTGACGCTTTCTATTGCTCAGGGTCCTGTCAGTTTCCCATGCCAAAGGTGAGAATCTGTGCCTCTTACTGTCGAAGTTGCCCTGCTCACAAACCAAAAGAGTTGGACATCAGCAATATCACACTTCAGTTATTGAAATAGTCTTTTCAATATCATACATTCTAAGACAAATTGTAAGGTTTGATTAAAGCAAAATACTTTTCCTGTATATTTTTACCACATGCTGCAAATACGGTCTAAACTTTGTATAACACCTGAACATTGGAGAACAACTGAAACAACACGTACACAAAAAGTCATACACTTCATCAACTGAGCTCTTTGAAGCAGTATGATAAGAATTATGTAAAAAGAGTAAGTTTTCTTGGACTATATGTGCATCCTATGGTGTCACGGGAATGGATGCTCATTAAGTTAAAGATGAGCTTGGGATTTTACAAGATACTATCTCAGGTTTTTTAAACATGCCCGGAATGCTTAAACTCCATTCACTTAATTCATTAGATTGGAGTCGCTGCTCTTTGTAATTAGTCCCAGAATTAGAGCCCAAGGCCTTAAAGGAACCCCCCCCCCCTCTCCTGCAGGTTTTCTCCACAGTCAGACGAGTCTGTGAAGTTTTTTTTCTTCCTTTTGTTGAGTTAACGTGGTAGAAGCTGTTAATAGTTACTAATAAAAGGTGCACTGTCTAGCTTTTTTGTGGTGTGTAGAAGGAGCCCCATTGGTATAAGGCCTGCACTCAGGCTCTCAGATGATGCTGATGAAGTTATTTGATATAGTGCAAAATGAAAACACAAAATCATCATAGTTCAAACCCAATTACACCCTATCTTTTGAACCTCTATGTTGCTTCTGACTGGTTAAGGTCAGTTGTTGAGGTCAAAGCTTGAGGAAAACAACACAATAACACAACTTACAATCGAAGAATTTAGGTTTTACAGTTTGACCTGTTAGCTATGGTTCAGTGATTCCCAGTTCATCCTTGGGCAAGAGACTAACCCCTTACTTGATCGTGTGATTGTCGATTGATATAACAGGAATCCTTTTTAAAATCAAGCCCTCATGGAGAACGCTTTAGCAAAACTTGATAATGTTAAAAAAGACACCTAGATTTATTGAGACCTTACAACATTTTTAGCTGTGTTCATTCATCAATGATGGATGTTGTGCATTACAAACTGACATTTAAACAATCACAGCTTATTAACTTGTAAGTTTGTATCAATATTTTATATGAGATAAAAAATAGCCTAAACACGACTGGGGAAGTGAGTTGCACATGTAAATAAACTTTTTACAAGTTATCTTACATGTACATAAAGTAGAAAGCACTTAGACATAAAATCGATGGACTATTCAATCCATAACCAGCTGTATGTAGATTTACTTGTGTTTTGTTCACGAGGACACTTTGTAAACTAAGAAATCTTCATTTTAATGGCCACAACTGTGTTAAAGAACAATCTTTCATTATAATTTTGTCTCATTAAAACAGACCAGGGGTCTTTCTGTGTAAAGTTTGTACGATCGCCCCGTGTCTGTCAAGTTTGTATCGAAACTATTATGAATTAGACATTTAGAAACATGACCCAATAGATAAAACTATATACAACACAGATGCTGTATAGTTGCATAAAAGTTCAATGTCCAATTTCTTATTCATAAAGTACAAATTTGCAACAAAATAAACCTAATCTGTGCCCAGACAACAATGGCTTCAATAATTCTTGAAGGATCTGTATTCAGTCGGTGTTTGCTTCGTTCCCTTTAAGTTACTGAGTAATAATGTCAAACAGATCTTCCATTGAAAATAAACAAATAAATTGTCTGTTTATATCCTCAGATATGTTCAGTTGAACTACTGCCTTAAAACGCAACAAGAGGGAAATATGCTTGATAAAGTCAGAGCTGAAAGTGTTTGCTTCAATTATCCATCATAGGTAGCTCTTAAATTTATTAGTTTCACAATAATCCAATAAACCATAATCACATAATCGATACCATAATGCTGGCTGTCTTAGATGCATGTCAATGCTACACCAGTTTGCCTTCCTGCTCAGATTTCAGATTGATCTTTTTAAAATAATTACTAAAAACAGCATGGATCTTGAAACACATTTTTAACACTTGCTGTCACTATGTATATTAATCAGTTTTAATTTGGTGCAGATTAATTCCACAAACAAATGACTCATATGGTTGCGTTTGGGAGGAGGAAACCCATGAAATGTAATAGGTTAACAAGAAATAACTATCTTTGCATCTTGAGATGCAATTTCTTATATTTAAGGTACAAATACAACTTTTGAAATTGTTTTATTTAAGTGACTTTGCTCAAATGGACATTGTGTATGTACAGTTTGCTGTTGTTATTTTATGCAATTTTAGCTTTTAGCATAAATTTCCCTAATGGGAGTAATTAAAAGGTGGAGCAGTATGAATATTGTTTTGTTAAACGAAAGAAGAAACTAGCACAGGCCTCAATTTGCGTAATATTATGCAAAACATGCATTCATATCCAATACAAATAAAACTGATTTGTGACACATTGGTTGTGAATGTAAATTGCATGTTCTTTGTTCCTGTGCTACAGGCCCTGAAGCCCTCTAACCACGCAACCATCCAGAGTATTGTACGAGCTGTGGGTGTTGTCCCTGGCATCCCTGAGCCGTGCTGTGTCCCAGAGAAGATGTCTTCCCTCAGCATCCTTTTCTTTGATGAGGACAAGAACGTGGTGCTGAAAGTCTATCCCAACATGGCTGTGGACTCCTGCACCTGTCGATAGTCATTTTTCCTTCCTCGTAGTGCCTGTTCACATCCACGTCGCATCACACAAGGAGAAAAAACAACACAAACAACACATGTATCCAGAAAGACGGACTCTTGTTCTGTCTCCTCAGTAGTACACTCATTCACATAAGTTCAACCATTGAACACAACTGCCTTTTTTGCACTGGAGGAGAATGCTGCCTGTCATCATAGGTGAAGAGGAGACTGGACTGTTCACAGGAGGGAAGGGGTCATGTAAGGGATCCGAGAAGATTACTGGTACTGACAATAAAATCTCCACACTTCAGCACCGGCATCTCTGATGTGCATATTTATCATTGTTGCTCGGTTATTTGATGGGTGACAGCAGGGTGGACGCTAAAATGACCATCAGTATAAACAAATATCATCTGAGGCACAAAATAGGCAAAAACTGAGAAAACAGTGTCACTTTTTAACTATTGAACTGATGCCTCGGAGGTCACATATCTTTCTCTCCTTCATAGCTTGAAGCTTTCTTCACTCTTTACCACAAAGTCACCTCTGTTCTTACATGCATGTTTTTTTGTAAGTATTTATATCTGTACTGTCACTGTTAATCACTATATGAGAAGGTATTTTATGACTATTGGCTTTGCTGCTATAGAGGGTTGTATTAGATTCCAAAGCCAGACTTTTGTTACAGGTTTGTTTTCAGATCACTGCTCTACTCATGTACATTACAGACATTTTAAAGATTTCAAATGCAGGAGAGTAAGCCACCTCTTTCTGAGTTTGTAAACATC